AATGAATTCATTTGTGGTGACAAATATGAGAACAACAAATTTTCTGTTAACAAATTTTTTGATACTCTATTCACTTAATAATAGAATCGTCGAATAGATGTAGTAAGTAATCTTATTTGATTTATTACTTACCAATAATGCCTTGAACTTGAAAGGTAATAACATAGTGAAATATACAATATAATTTACGCTGACATTAAACTTATATACAACATTTAATAACATTTTATTTTTATTCTAAGCAGAGGGCGATGACAAGGACGTGAATTAAATATTGAAATATATTTAATATGAATATAATATAATATTTAATATGAATTAAATATTATGAATAATATTTATGAATTAACATTCATTATATTACACTGGCACTAATTTAAAATATATTTTCCAGAAATCAATTATAATAAAAAAAAAATTATCCAGCAATTTTTTGTTTTGCGGACCATTTGGCGCCCCTTTGTGAGTAGCGCCCGGGGCATGATGCCCCCCCCTTGCTCACCCCTCGCTACGCCACTGGGCAAATCTCAAAGACGAATTTTCGTAGCAATAAAAAATGGCGCCAAAAAAGAATTGTTTCCCCTTTTTTTTGTTTCGTAAGCATTCTTCATTTTAAGTTTCTAAATAATGATTTTTATTGAAACTTAAAATTTTTTGATAAAAATTGTTGTCAAAAAACTTTTTTTACAAAATTAAATTTTATAAAATTATGAGGCTTATTTTTGAAGTAATATGATTGGTAAAACTATGGAATGTGAAATTTAAATAAGCCTATCATGTTATACCATTAAATTTAGTAAAACAATTTATATATTTGTTATTAACTTAAGAAGATATATATATTTGTTCTGTTTATTTACAAATATTTTTCCGATGTGTTTCGGATATTCTTTCTCTAAGAAAAGAGATACCATTTTGTTTTCGCTTGCATAAGAAAAAATATCAAACAATTTTCTTTTTTAAATTTAATAAGTCACAATAAAGAAGGAACGTTGCAATGCTACACGCTGCCTTAAAGACGTCTCTAGAGTAACTGGAATGACTGTTCATATAGAAATTGCAGGTATTCGTCTCATACAACAACGCCCGTTCGTTGCGATCGCGAATTGCCTGCCTGCGAAATCNATAAAAAAAGAACAAATTATGTACAGCTGCAATAAACAAGCACCGCAGTTCACTAGAGGGCGTGGATATAGAGTACAAACTAGTTACTAGACCAGTGATGTCAACGTTCACCGTGACGTCCGTTTGGTCGAGTGATTGATCTTTCTGCCTTTATATCTATGGAATCAACATTAAAATATGCAAAAATTGTACATAAATTCATAATTTTATATAATTCATTTTTGCAACAATAAGTTTTTTGACATAACAATTTTAATCAAAAAATTTTAAGTTTCAATCCTCCACTACAAATTTCTCACATGAAAATAAAAAAACTTTCATGTTTTTTTTTATTTTATTATTATTCTTAATCGGACGAAGAAAACCATTCTAAAGAAAACTAAGAAGAAGAAAATTATTCACAAGTAAAATTTTTTTATTATGAACACTTACCTGCTTTATAAATCTGGAGAATTCCAAAAAGATATGTTCTTCTTTTGAAAACTTTATTCCCAAATAATATAGATAATCCCTACATTACTTTAAGATGACATACCACACAATAAAATTTTATAATTGCAAGATCTCGATATGAATTTCAATATGTAACTTAAAACAGAATAGTTGAAATTTTATCATTTAAAATCAAAAAATACTTACAAGAAAACGTTAAAAATTTATTTATAATCAACATAAATTATATTATTTCAAGTAATTCGGATTATTCTTTTCAGAATTACATAGATTCAGAAATATATACTATTCTATAACTATTTTCAGTTTTGCATGTTCTGAAATTACATTTATTCATTGAAAAGAAGTAAGCAATGTTGACTTCACTTTATTTGCAATGAATTGGAAGAAGGAAAAAAAATGTATTTCACCGTAATACACACATCTGTAACAGTATGCGATCACGAAATCGGAAGTTATCGGTAGCAAGCTTGTTAATAATAGAAAGGTAAAAATTATTGAGAAATTGTTTTTCAAATGTTTGAGAAATTTTGTTTCTTATTTGCTATTAAAAAAATGATGTCCGACACTGTCAGTGATTATGATAGAACTAAATGAAAACTTAATAAATAGACGTTTGAAAATATGCTCTTCACTAGAGGGCGTATTCAAGCGTTACGATTCCAATAAACAAGCCAACATAACCCGTTTGACTATAAGCTGAACCTTAGCATACAAAGATCTAGACCGCATTACCGAATGAGGAAAAAATCAGCTTCCCCAGTCGTGGTTGACTGGGGAAGCGTGAACTCGAGAAGTGTTGCACCAAGCAGAGTCCTCAATTCTGCTTTGAACATGTAAAGTCTATGGCCAGCTTGTCATATTTTAAATCGATTTTTTTTTAAGAATCAGAGTGATCAATTAAAAAAATACTATTAATTTTTCAATCTTTCCAATCCACGAAAATGTGTGTCAAATATCTTTATTGCTTTTTGTAATAGTTATTGTCTTTGAAACTCAAGTCACTTTTGAGTAAGGGAGGAAAGCAACTTTCTCCCCCAAGTTCATCCTCCAGGAGACGATTGCGGTCTCACAGTGACTTATCTTCTCCGTAGGTGGTCTTCCTCTCAATCTCCGAAATACTAAGGGTAAGAACTAGCAGCTTTTTCGTTCCTCAATGAAATAGATATCCCACAAAAACAAAATGAAAGAATTGTTATATTCCACAAGAACAAATTGTTAAGATTTCTGATTATCAATAATGTACAGTAATTTATCTTTCATCAAATTTTTGATCATAGATCAAACCCAAGAAAGCGTTTTTATTTAGTTCTCACTTAGATATATATTTGTGCCCTTTAACTTGCCTAAGTTTTTTTTTTTAAAGTTTCTTTACAAGGGTTAAAATATAGTAAAACCAAGCTTCAATCAGACTTAGATAAAAGAAAAACTTTCTGCGAACACAAAATCCTCATTAAAAAATATTCTGCGAATAAATCTCAATTAGGAAACTTTCTGCAAGCAATTTATTGACTTTTGTAACTAGTTTCAACTCTTTCACTGCTACCTAATTTTTGACAATATTTGTTCCAAAAAAAAAATCAGATTTTTTTTAAAAAAAAGTGCTTCAATTTTTCTAAAACTCTACATTAATTAATACACATTCCAGCTCATTTCCCCCCTTTAAATTTAGCAATTTTTTGAAGATTTAAAACTAATTATTGACTTGCTGAATTTTCTGTTATTGGATTAGACTTTTCTAAAATTGGGTACGGGGTAGAAAATAGAAATTCTGACCATTTATTTATATACATAAATATATAGTGTATATATTTTTTATAAATATATAGCGCATATATTTTTGTATACAATGTATAATTAAAGTACATAGATATATTTTTGAGCCTACTCTACAATTCAGTATATAATAATAAACAAAACTTACACCTTGTACAATAATGAGTATTATTAAAGAAGTTTCTGGGTTGGCGACAAATTTTCCATGAACTGCGTTTGCACGCTCGATTATATTATTCATCTCTGCCTCCAGCCAACATGGAATTTCATTGGTTTCAGAAAAAAATTCTAATGGTGCAGAGGTAATGCTTTAATATTTTAATAAAATAGAATGAAAAGAATTTGGCCCATTACTACATATATATAATTTAAACAGATATATTAAATGAAATATAGCAGGGTTCGAAAAATCTAAAATATTTTATATATCCAGCAGGGCATGTCATTCTTTAAAATACAAGCCTGAAAGAAACTTTTACATGATCGAACATCTTTTACAATTGCATACTAGAGAAAACCCATGGATGTATCAATTATTAGTCTGTCTAAAAAATTATATATCAACATCTATTAATAAAATATATTCCCTTTTAGCTTGAGCAATAATGTCTGATAACTTTTTTCTACAGAAACACTATTACTATTAATGAGAAATATTAATAACAAAGATGTATATTTGGCATTGCTAACTAGGAAGTATTAAGTACAAATAGGCATTGGTAGAGTGAATACGGAGCATTCTAATTTAACAAAGAATAAATATTATCAGAATAAGGCATTATTAACAAGTGCATGACCTTAAACGGGTTGTTTTAAAATAATGTTATAAACAGCATTCTCCCTAAGCGTTTCTTGAAAGGCAGCCCACGCTGCTTGTCCTTTGATCGCTATAAATGCACCCTCTTTGCTGTTTTTGTAAAAGTAGGGCACCATCCCTTAAAACACTGTCTTTACATTCAGATTACATATTAAAAAAATTTATTCATTGTTTTTAAATAATTACACACTTGTAAAATTATCTGCACTTATAGGTTTAATTTTGATTACTAGATTATATTACAAATATTTACTTTGTTAGGATTATTCTAAACTGGTAAAATTTTTATTTTTTCTTCTTCAAAAAAATGCAAGTTGTTTATCAATTAATCATTTTTTTGCTAGTTTACTTTTTTTTAAAAAAATATGCACAAATACTGCTTTTTAGCATGCCTTTAATTATTTTTATAGACTACAAAATTTTTCCTTATTTTGATAATGAGAGATAATTACGATTTGAAATATACTCATATAAAATAGTATGAGAGGATAATTTAAAAATTTTTGAGCATAAAATTCAGTTATTACCAATATTACACATTTTTATAATATTTTCATCAAAATTCGAAGGGTATTTTATGGTAATTCTGTTTGAATAATTATATGCCCATTTGAGGATAAAAAATTCATGTTTTTACAGGCTCCAAGAATGCATGGATAAACAATTTTTGAGCTCTGACGTGAAGGCAAGTGGTCATGTTCTTAAGTGCTGATACAACTGGAAAAAATATTTTCCCAAAACCTCAAAAGTTGGAAGATATGTAAATGTTACATTTTACTTGAAATAAAAAAAAAACATTTTATAGTAACAAAAAGTACAACACAAAAACTCTGTGATAAATTTCTTTTTATATAAAAAAAACAAAATAGATTTCATAGAATGTACAAATATACAATTTATAAAACAGTGAATTTGTACAAGATGAAAGACGTCTAGAAAGTTCAGGTACCTAAAAAAATAAGAGAGAAATAGCAATATAATATATATTTTTAAATATTATCATTTGAAAAAATAATGCACTTAAAATAAATCTTTCTTTGTATTTTGAAAATCACATTAAAATTCTATAAAAATGACAAAAAATGTGTTGTTTTTCGTTGTTATCATTGTTGCGTGCCAACTGAATAAGTTATGAGAAAAAAATCACCAACCAGCAATTCTAAGTATCTAGACAGCTAGGATACTTATGAATCTTTCCTTATCACATAATATCAATGACAGCTGTGATCAATGTGTAATTAATATAAGTTATAAATTTCAATTTCGTTTAGATAAAAAAGCTTGAGCAAAAACAGGTATCTCTATTTTTTTCTTCTTCTTTTATTTAGTAACAAATCCAGGGGTCTGTCTAGGTTTTCTTGAGAGATACCAATTTTGTGAAAATTTAGACATAATTTGTCAAAAAATTTATATTAAAAAATAAACACAAAAATACGATAAGGTAATAAAATATTTTCAAAAATTGTCACTACAAATAAAAATAATTTAAGATTGGAAAATTTCTTTATATCTTTCTCCAAATATTCAAAAATAATTTTAAAAGTTTGGGCTTAAAATTGTATCCAAATTTAAAAATCCATAAAAATTAATGTCGATAGTTAAATTTCAACTTAAATTTAATAAATTCGTGCATTTAACAGTACTAGCACTAAAAGTTATTTTCATGATTAAAACATTTTCCCCTAGGTCATACAGAAAAAAGTTTTGCAGAGAAAAAAATGTATCATAAATGAAGGTCTGTTTGAATAAATTTACAATAGTGTTTCAGATATTGTTTAGAATAATGTTCAAATTTCGACGTCCTGTAAAGTTTATAGAGAGAGAGCCTTGTCATTTCATTTTTAAAAAAGAACTCCACAAAAAAAAAAGCTTTCTTTGATATAGTATAAGTGACCGGTTAGGTTTACCACATTGCACTATCTGACCTAACACATGCTACCTTTTCTGATCGTAAAGACACGCCTCCAAGTAGAACATCGAAGTCGCACACCATTAGCTGCAGTCAGTAAACGGGGTGGAGTGTGCGACCACTTTGATCAGCCTGCGTAAGGGGCGAGGGTGCTACGTATTAGTCCTCGTTATACTGTTTTATGGTAAAGTGCTTGACTTCGAGCACAAGTCGTCGGGCAACTAAAGGGATCCACCCCCTCTGCAGAGGATCAAAATTACGATGGCATGTCTTCGGATCATCCCCAGGGATGTTTCCCAGACAGTCCTCTATAGCCCATTGTACAGCTCTAGTGCGGCATAAATAATGTACCTACCATCACTTCATGTATAAAAATTAAAAAAAAAAAAAGAGTTTTTACATGCATGTAGGATATAAGGTTAATTCATTTCCCCATTTTATACCTTTATTCTCATTTTTAGGAAGGAAAAAATTGTTATTTGAAGTGATTGATTTTCATAGGGAGAGAGCGATGAGGATTGCATGCTTGTTACAGAAAAAAAGGGCTGACTGGAACGTTCTGCAGGAATACATATGCAAAAAAAAAATATGCAATACATGCACTGTAAGTGCGCAAAAAAACAGACCACCCTGAATAACTTTTGATCTAATTATTGGATCTTCCCATTCTCAAATATGATAATTAATAAGTGATTATGATATTTTAAGTAATGAAATCTGACAAAAAATAAACATATTTTCTTTGAATAAACATATCTTTTCTTCAACAAATTAGGATTACTGACCCTCAAAATATTGGGGGTAGCCACAACCTGGGAAATATGTTTCCACTAGTTGGGCTAGGAAAGCACTCCATAATATGGAGATCTTACTGTTTATTTTTTACATATTTCGCTATACCTCAAGAACTTTTTAAGCAAAATGAAAAATTTTTGTACACAATTATAAAATTAGTTTATCCAAAAATAATAACGTGTAAAAAATAACTATTAGTAAATGTTCATTATTTTATTTAAGAATGGCTGAAAAAATTTTGAATTGTAAGGTGTAAAATTTTTTGCATCATTTTAAAGAATATAATTTTACAAAGCAAAATTTAAAGTGTGAGTAGATCGGATGAATAGTTCCTGAGAAATTGAATTTCAAAAAAGTCAGATATTTGAAATTCGATTTCTCAAGAACTATTCAATTGATTTTTCTCAAATTTTGTATTTTAGCATGCAAAATTATATTCTTAAAAATGATGCAAAAAATTGCACTCCTAAGAATAAAAATATTTTTCGACTATTATTTAATAATAAAAAAAAATATTTACTGAAATTTATTTTTTGCATAGAATTATCTTTGGACAAACGATTATTATAATTGATTGCAAAAATTCTTCAATTAGCTGTAAAAGTTTTCGAGATATGGTGAAATACTCAATAAATAAAATTTACGTTAAGAAGTTCAAACTTTGAATCGCTCTCCTGACCAAACTATGGGGACCCTATTTCACAGATTGCGGCCTTATATTTTGGAGGTTAAAAATTCAAATCTGCTGAAAAGAAAGTATTTTATTCAGAGAAAGTACTTTTTGTGTCAAATTTTGTAACTTAAAATATCGTCTGCACTTATTAATTAGCCTATTTGAGGTTGCCCCTTTGAGCCATTAAGATTGAGTCCTAGAACATGAAGATCTGATCATTAGATGGAAAGTTTCTCAGGGTGGTCCCTTTTTATGTGCACTGTACATGGTACAAATAATAAAACTAACGCATATAAAAGAGATGAAAAATTGTTCGTTTTGATGTTATGTAAATTATTATTATTTTTTGTTCAAATGAAAAGAATTTATAATACAATATAGAATTTTTAATACAAAATATTGGGTATGCATTGTTAAATTATTCTGTTTCATCACATATTCATTTGTCAGCATTTCCGCATGTTTTTCAATACAAAGTACTTAGAAATCTCATTGGCCAGTGTATTTGCGGTTAAAGAGAAGGCTAAATAAAACTTCGTATTCTTATTAAATTTTTAAGATGACATTTATGTCATTATAAATCTATAATTCAAAGTGTAGAAAAACTTTCTTACTTTATAGAATTGAGACTGCTTTTAAACTACTTACTTGCAATTTTGCTATTGATCTATTCTATTAAATATTTTATGAGATATGCATTATCAATTTTGAAGCTTCAAAAAGTAATAGTTTGAGTCAAAATATTAGTGGGGTAAAAAACAAACTAATATTTTGTGAAAATCATTTTAGAAAATTACACAGGGAAAAGAACCCTTCCAATCCTAGTTATGGTTGCATTCATGAAAAATCAATTTTAATATACCTGGCGTGAGGCAAACATTTGTGATGTCTTCTCAGGAATATTTTGGCATTGAAACATAACTAACAACCAGTTTCCTGATCTTCTCATGGTTTAAAACATAATTACAGTTTGAAAATATCTGAAAACAAATCATCATAAGTATCAAACAAAGAACATAATTATTTTATTTTTTAAATATGAACATTAACAAAAGCAAACAATTATTATTGAAGTGCTGAAATTTGCTCAATTCATTTTCGGAAATTTTACTGAACATACAAAATGCAGTTTTAATCCAGATACCTTTTTACCTATGAATATTTGCAAGTTGACCTTTATCATCAAGATATCAATTTATTCCATAGAATAAATGGGAGTAAAAACCTTTGTAACTTGTCTACGATTGACTGCTAAATAAGTCAAATTTGTTTAGGGGTGTCCCCTACATAAAATGACTAAAAAAAAAACTTTTTCAGAAAATTTAGAACTATACTATTTTGTCACGCATTAAAATTATACTCAATTAGTTAATATTTAAAGCTAATCTAAGTCTCTTCATGAGTTGACCATAAAAGAAACTTATGAGGACTTGTGTAATAAATATGTTTGTAAGTACTATAATATAAATTTCTAAATGATGAAATAAATACATTTTTAAGTTTTATAATAGCCTCTACATATGTTTTAATGCATTGAGATTTGAAAAAAAAAATATTTATTATAAATAACTGGCTTTTAAGTTTTCTAATTGCCTACATGTATATTTTAATGCATTGCCTATAGGTATATTTAACCCCTGGTTTGTGGATCAAATGGTAATGGGCTGCATAAGGAACATTAAATTATTTCTTTTATTCACAGTGGAGTATTTTTCTTGGGTTTGCACAGCTTTCCACACATGAGATAATCTGGCAGCCACCAAGCATGTAATAGTATTTTATTTTTGTTTAAATACATGTTTTGCTTTAAACATGAACAATCAACATTCCTTCCCGCCACTCTCAGCAGGACAAAATAAAATTATCAAACATTGACCTGAATGCAGAGAAAAAATGTTTGGGGAGCACTGTTTAATGTATTGAAATTTGAAAAAGATTAGTTATAAATAACTGACTTTTAAATTTTTTAATCGTTCATATATAGTTTTAATGTATCGAAATTTGAAAAAAAAAAAAAATAAAACATAAAACATTTATAACAAACAACTAGCATGCATAACTAACAAAGTGTGCATATCCAATTTTTTAAACTAATCAGTTTATTATTAAATTCGAGTCATAAATTATAATTCATTCAGTGAATATTTTCATTTTTTAAGATATATGGCATAGTTGACAAATAAAATATTAATGTTATATTATAAAAAAAAATTATACAACTATATTTCATTTTTTAATTCGCGATCGTAATGAACTATAAGGGGCATTGTTGTATGAGACGAATACCTGCGATTTCTATATGAACAGTAATTCAGTTACTTACTCTGGAGACGTCTTTAATGTAGTGTGCAGCATTGTAACGTTCCTTCTTTATTGTGGCTTATTAAATTTAAAAAAGAAAAATTTTGATATTCTTTCTTATGCAAACGAAAACAAAATGGTATATTTTTTTTTTGAGAAGGAACATCCAAAACACATGGGAAAAATATTTGTGAATAAACAGAAAAAGTATGTAAATTCTTATGAGAGTTAAAACCTAATGCCTAAGAAATAGTTTTACTAAATTTAATGATGTAACATGAAAGGCCCATTTAAACTTTACATTCCATAGTTTTAAGAATCATAATACTTCAAAAATTAAAATGAACAAAAAGTAGGACATAAAGCCTCATAATTTTATATAATTTAATTTTGTAAACAAAGTTTCATGACAACAATTTAAATCAAAAAAGTTTAATTTTCAATAAAAATCATTATTTAGAAACTAAAAAACGTAAAATAAAGAATGCTTACGAAACAAAACAAAAAACAATTCTTTTTTGACGCCATTTCTCAGTGCTACGAAAATTCGTCTTTGGGATTTGCCAAAAAAAAACAAAAACAAGATGCAATTTTATTTTTTCAAGAGCGAAAAATTTGACTGAAAAAACGAAAATGTACCAACTCACATAAAGTGTTTTATTTCATGATTTGTCGCAAAACATTTTAGGTGTAGAGTGGCGGCACTTAAAAACCGCCAAATCTGTAGTTGCGGTGGCGTTAATACGTAAGTACCGTATTTTTATTCCGTACTTTTCTGAATTATATTAATTCAAACATTAGAATGTTCAAGAAGTATACATAAACACATAATGTTATACCATTTAATTTTTCAAAAAAACTATTTTAATAACAAATTTTATTAAAGAATTATGAACAAAAAACGTACAATAAAGAATTCTTAGGATATAAAAAAAAAAAAAAACGATTTTCAAAATTCCTCATATTGAAATAAAAAACTTCCATAATGTTTCTTTTTTTATTCTTATAGTGCTTAATTATTAGAGATAAGAAAACCATTGTGTAGAGAACTATCATCAAATAAGAAAAAAAAATTATTTATAAGTAAATTTTTTATTATAAAAATCATAACACTTACCTGATTTATGAATTCGGAGAATTCCAAAATGATATGTTCTTTGTTTGAAAACTGTATTCTCAAATAATATATAAATAGTTTATCCCTTCATTACTTTTAGATAACATACCATGCAGCAAAATTTTATAATTGTAAGATCTCGATATGAATTTTGTAGCTTAAAAACAGAATAGCTGAATTCTAGTTGAAATTATTCTTTTAAAACTAAAAAAACACTTACCAAGAAAACAATAAAAATTTATTACAAATCAGCACAAATGATACTATTTCAAGTAATTCGGATGGTTCTTTCTTGTTATTTTCCGAATTATATAGATACAGAAATATAGACTATTCTATGATGAAGAAGAATATAAGTATTACAGTGCTGTACATTCTGAATTCACATTATTCATTGGAATGACGAAAGCAATGTTGACTTCACTTTAATTTGTAATGAATTGAAGACAGAAAAAATTATTTTACCGTAATACACACATCTGTAACAGCAAGTGATCATGAAATCGGATGTTATGATGTTGGTAATAGAAAGGTAAACATTATCGAGAAATTGTTTTTCAAATGCTTGGCGTATTCAGCTTCAATGTTTGCCATGTTCTGGTTAGTTTCTTTAAGTTCTTCTACTTTTTCCTTAGGGAAATTTTGCTTCTTATTTGCTGCTAAGAAAATGGCGTTCGTCATTGCCAATGGTTACGATGGAATTAATGACGGATATTTTCAGGCTCCCTCTAGAGGGCGTACTCAAGGGTTGCGATCGCGAATAAAAGTAGAGTTCCAATTATCTGAGCTTACGCTTTAACCGAACTATAAAATATTTCAAGGATTTTTCTGTTCTAGTTTATTTTTAAAACTACTGACGAAAAAAATTCTGAATTTGAAAACTGAATTTTGTCCTAGTATATTTTTTATTTTTAAAACTACAGGCAAAAATAATTCTGAATTTGAAAACGAAATCCAACAACCTAATCCGATGAAATGATCATTAATATCGTCAATAACAAAAATGAATCTAGCGACGATAAAGACAGTGAAAATCAATATATAAAAATCTCTCATACAGATGGACTATAAGCTATCAAAAGTGCTGAAAGTGAATATATAGAACAACAAGATGCCTCAGCAGCCTTTCTGTTTCCCTGAAAAATGGTGAAGCATTGCTGCAGAAAAGTGCCAAAGTAATGTAAAACAAAAAACAATTAAAGACTTTTTTAAGTAATAACTCTTTTATTCTCGTATAATTTATTTATTTCAAATGGCGGGGGTGAATTGACATGTTAAAGAATAAAAACACAGGAACATAACAATAAAGTAAAAAGTCATTTCCTCAGGATTGCTCGTTTCCCAATATTGCTCAGTAGACGACGACCCGCAGAGGGCCCTGCAGCACAGGATGTGGCCGCCATCCAAAACAGCTTGGCTCTTGCACAGAGAACAATAGGGATCAGGTGCCAGCCCTAAACGAAACTGGTGCGCGGCTAGGCAATCAGGTCCAGTATATAGTCGAAACTGAGTCATCGCTACGCGGCGCGGCCGGCCAGTCTGGAGTGGTGTTCTCTCGAAGATCTCTCCACACTTTGGTTTTTACCCTTTCTGATAATTGGTGATGGAAATCCCCATTGATTTTTGATCTAACAATCCTTTTTGAAGTTGAAAAGGGGACTGGGCTACAAAGAGCCTGGAGAATTCTTGTGCTTATCCTTGCCAAAACATCAGCTCTCTCATTTCCTGCAATATCACAGTGCTCGGGAATCCTTTGTAGGGCTACATTTTTACCAAATTGGTGGAGTTTATGTATCGCAGCCTGACATTTTAGAACATCGCAAGTGGAAGGGCAATGCATAGATTCAATCGAGCAAAGTGCCGCTTCGAGTCTGAAAGGATAACCACATTTGAAAAAGACTCAATAAACAAAAAAGCTGTTCGAGAGCGATACGGATAGCACCAACTTCCCTGTCAAAATCAGATCTATTGGCACCCACTGGGGCACCAAAGGAGAAGAGACTATAAAAGATACCAGCTCCAGCATTTGGTTGATCCAGATCGAAAGAGCCATATGCAAAAACTCTCAGCCAGAGCGGTTCCGGGTAACGGATTCCCATTATCTCCAGCACAAGAAGGTGGGGAGCAGAGGTAGACGTTTCACTTTTGACAATGTGATAATAATAGTACGCTCTTATAAGTAAGCTGTTTAATTATAACATGAATTGTATGTGGTATAAATTTTGCATTTGTTAAATGTATTACATTTATACCTACTCTTTCCTTTTTTTTTTATACTCTTTGCTTTAACCGAGCTTTTCAGTTATCCGAGTGAGTTGTGGTCCCCATTAACTCGGATAATCGTGTGGATCACGGCTCGGATAATCGGGACTCTACTGAAATATGACATTATATTATAGAAATTTTTAAAAAACCTCCACTTTGGATCCAGGAGGTCCAGATAAACGAGTGTGTACTTTCAAGCTATAACTTTCCCTAGACTTACTTTAGGCACAGCTCTCCTCATGATATCCTTGTAATCATCTTTGTTTATGACGCCTGAACTGTAGAATGGCTTCAGCACCATTTTAACCTCAGCTGCAATATCTTCCATAAATGCCTGTTTCTTGTCAGCCTTAAAAAATAAAAAACATCTAAATAAAATATCTTATATTCTTTCATCTATTCTGTGATGTGTTCAAATTGAGGATGAGACATTAGAACATGTAACATTGTGCAAAAGTGTTCTACATGAATAAATAATACTAAATAACTTGGGAAAAGTAAACAAAACAGTTGTGCAAAATTGTGTATAAAATATTTTCTATTATTTAAAAACCAAATTATTATTATTATTTTAAACCTTTTCTCTAATGATATAAATCATCAATATAATTGCGTAATCTTTTTATACCACAGAGTTGACAGAATAAAGAATCAATCTATTTTCAGAGATTCTGTCCACATTTGATAAACATAACTGCATAAAATTCAAAACCATTACATGCTTGCTAAAATGTTTTGTCTTTAGTAAAAAAGATGTTATTTCTCAAACTTTCTTTTCCATCCACACATTTAAATTTGTAGAACTAAGAAAAAGAGGCAATCAATAATTTGAAACAATTAAAAGTCAATGCAATGGATTTTTTAATCTTTTCTTAGTGAATAATATACGCTACACTTTTCTAATATACCCTTACCACTTGCATTTTTTATTTTTTCAAGAGTCAGGGGGTCCTGTGGGGTTTGCCCTGGCAGCCACATCCTCCGGGTCATTTTCAAAATTTATTATTCAGTTAAAATGTTACTTGGATAAGATATTATTTTACTTGGCAATTTGAGTTCTGTATTATTATTTTACGAAATAAAAGTTTTACTCTAATTAATAGTCTGCTTTCATCATCTATAATTTTTTTTTATTTTCAATATATATATTATCAGTAATTATCTCTTTTTTCTTATCTGAATCAGATTAGATACACGAGTTTGTTCACCTCCAGAACAATGTCAGGTTGTTAAAATAGATCTTCTTGTGACACGAGAAGCATATGCATATGGGGAGGAGTAGTTTCCCACCCTATAGCGCTTATTACATGAGAATTTAATGGTCTTTAAGTGGCAGGAAGTTAAATATGGTCTTTTTTGTTTTCCCTCAAATTTTATAACAGCACCTTCACTACAATACCTTCAAGAATTAGAATGTCCCATGTAACAGGCAAAGAGAATCCATAGGTACATCAACCGGAAACTGCTCACAGAGGATTAATATTGAGTGCTGTTAGGCTAATTTCAGTTATAGCCCAAAACCGCACAGAAATGTTGAGTAAATTCTGCCACCTATGTCGAGGTGCATTGCACCTGTTCCCAGTCGGTATCCTAATTGGTCTTTTCCACTGAAATACTGATTTTTCAGCTTTGTCTTTGAATTTTGCATAGTGACTTCAAGTAATAAATAAATTATCTATGAAATAATAATTGCTTCACATAAGAACTAAGTAAAATAAATTTAAAACTAGTGTAATAGATCAGCGATTCCCCCTAAAGTTCAGAGAAACCCAGGGATTCCGTGGAGGAGTCACTGCGGTTCTATGAGTTAGGACTTTTTTTTCTCCATTAATGATATTTGAAATCTGTAATTTTATTCACATTAAGTCTACAATCCATTATTTGTTTAATATTGTGCTTTTTTAGTTATTAATCAATTTCGTTCATTTATTTAATAAAACAAAATGTCAGGGAAAAAAATAGTATTATTTAAAATAAAAATTCTGATAACAATATACTAAAAAAAAAAAAAAAAATTATGAAAAATATAAGCATTATAAAAAAAAAATGCACAAATATTTCCCATAAAATCTTTCAATTCAATAAATAACCATTCTTAACATTCATTCCATGGGTAACCATTCTTAACATTTAGAACAGTTCTTTCTATTTTCATTTGAACAAAAATAATAATTCAGCTTATTTTATGAAGTATTTTCTAAATGATTAGTAGCGTTTCTTTGGTAAATATGTTTACAACTGCTAATAAACTTTATTAATTAATAGCCAGCCCTTTCATCCCTTCAGTGGGTCAGTCAATAAAATGAGTACCAAGCATGCTTGAGGACTAAACACTGAGGGTTCCGCTGACCATCCAACCGGAACATCTGCTCTTGCACTTCAGGTCAAGAAGAGTAGGCCTTGTCTCTCTATGGGCTGTTGCGCCCCTGAGTTTAGTTTAGAGTAGCCAGAAAAAAACTGGGAACCACTACAATAGATAAACAAGCAAACAAATAGAACAATAAGAAAGTTTCACTCACTTTTTCCTCCTTTATCTCTTTGGGGTGAGGAGAGAGGGAGTTGTTCTTTACCATTTCAAACTCAAATCTTCCATTTATACTCACGGAAGAAGAATTCTTTATAATATCTTCAGCAGCTTGGCTGAGCACATCCAAAACATTCTTTTTCGATTTAATCTTTTTGTTAGAAGAACTGGTGGACTTCTCTTTCTTTGGAAATTTTTGTAGCAACATTTTATCTTTGTGGGTGGCATCCATTTCCTTGTGTTTCTTTCTCAACAAGTCTCCATCTTTACTATCATTACGTTTTCTTTTAGACGATGGAACTTTGACCATTTCTCCCTTGTAAAAACATTCTGAATCATGCTCGGTGGAAGTCTTTGTAAATTTCTGAAACAGACTGGAATCTTTTGATGACTCGTTATGAAGAACCTTAGAAGTAGAATAAGGAGAATCAATGCTTAGGTCACAGTCAAAATCTAAAGGTTCTTGTTTAATACAGCTAAGAGGAATCATCTCTTCCACTGATGGTGCATTTGAGGCAGATTCATCTATTTCTTTTTTAATTAGTTTCTCTATATCAGAATATGAATTTGAGTCATTACAGAATTCCTCTTTTATTACTTTCCCTTTGTTACTGGCTTCTTGATGATGTTTAATATACTTGTCACTAATTTCTTTTTCATCCCCTTCAAATGTCTTTCTTTTTTTTCCTGAGTTGCGTCTAGACTCCTTTGCATTCAAATCATCTGAGCTGTGCATTTTGTGTTCCTTTTTATCCTTCCCATTCAATTCATCTTTATGACTTTTGTAGTACCTTTCATCTTCGCCATCATGTTTACTCTTTTGCTTTGCCTTAATATTCGAATAATTAGTGCCAGACAAATTTTCCTTGAACCACTGAGACTTGCATTCAACACTTTTAATCTGTTTTCCTTCTCTTTTACTTTTGATCTTCAAATATTCAGAGCCAAAAGAATCATCCTTAGATCTCTGAGATTTGTGTTTAGAACTCTTATTTATTTTATCTTCTGCTTCACTTCTGCAATTTGAGTTTTCAGAATGAGATACGTCATCCCCAGACTTTTGAAATCTGCGATCAGAATTTTTATTTAGTTTGCCTTCTCCCTTATTCTTAACTTTTAAATATTCAGAGTCAGATGAATCATCTCTGAACTTCTGAGATTTGTGTTCAGAAATCATATTCCTTTTGCTTTTTCCTTCACTTCTGATATTTGAATGTTCAGAATCAGATGAATTATCCTTGGACTTCTGATATCTGCACTCAGTATTTTTATTTCTTTTGTTTTCTCCGACTTCTGAACATTCAGATTCAGAAGAATAGTCCTTGGATCTTTGAGATTTAACCTTTACACTTTTATAGAGTTTGCTTTCCTCCTTACTTCTCTGCTTTGAATATTCAGAATCTGAGGAATCATTCTTGGATCTCTCAGATCTATATCTTTTATCTTCTCTTTTTCTTTTGATTTCAGAGCATTCAGAGTCAGAAGAATCATTTCCAGAACTCTCAGTTTTTTGTGTAACATATTTATTTATTTTGCTTTCTTTCTTACTTCTGATGCCCGAGTATTCCGAATCTGAAGTATCATCTTTTGAACTTTGAAAATTATGTCCAGTAATTTTTTTGCTTTCTTCTTTACTTGTTGTTTTGCTCTGCACAGTATGAAAATGTTTCTCACTCTTTTTTAATGGACTAGTATTAATATTTTTCAAAGTTTTCTCTTTATTTTCAAATTGATTATGTTTATAGCAACGATGCTCCTTTCGGCTTTTTGTTGACTCGCTGCAATCTTCTCTCAATTTAGCTTTATGCATATTTTCTTTATGTTTATGACTGTGACTATCTTCTACAAGCGAGCTTTCTCTATCATTGAACAATTCTAATTTATCTTTTTTGGGCATCTTTTCTTTTGATGATTGACTTCTATCTGGGGTTTTTTCATGACAATCATCAAAAGAACTTTTCTTATTTTCTATGCGCACTTTTTCTTTCAACGATTTACTTATACCGGTAGTTTTATCACGGCAATCGTCAGTAGAACTTTCTCTACTACTATTTAACAGCTCTTTATTTTTTGTGTGCATAGTTTCTTTTGATGACTGATTTTTGCTGGTGTCATGAGACTCGTCTGAAGGCGAGTTTTCTCTAGAGTAACTAGCAGCAATTTTGGAATGCTTTTCAATCTTTTTATCTTTCAATTTATCCTTACCATGAATTTTTTCTCTTGTTGATAGCCTTTTCTCTGGGAATTCGTCACAGTAATTATCTTTCAAGTAGCTTGATGTCTGTTTCGAAAAAAATTGATCATTTGATATTAATTTATCCTTTTCGTGTGTATTTTTTTTAGGTGGCATGGTCTTATCATGGGAATCATATTTCTTAGAAGCATCAGATAACCGCTTTGCTGAGGTTTTTGTCAATTCCTCTTTATTAGATATCTTCTCGTGCATATGCATTTTACTTCCATCATCAATCCTACTTTGGCTTTCTACCTCTTCTTTAAGGTGCTTATGATACTTTTGCTTATCAGCTTTTTGCTTTTTCTTTTGTAACTTTATGTGATGAGGATCTGAATGATCAAAATCACTTGAATCTGATTGCACGGCTATTTCATGATTTTTAATGAGTGGAACATTCTCATAACTATATTTTTTCCTTTCACGTTTATCTTTTAACTCTTTCTCGTTTAAGTGCTTCAACTTGTTCGTATTTTCAGAGGAGAGGCTTTCCGAGTGTTTTCCTTCACTGTTGGGAATGTCAACACAACTAATTTTTTTTAATGAATCAGCTGATTCCCGCCTAGATTTTTGGTGTTTTAACTTTTCAGTTGATTCGCACCTAAACTTATGCTGCTTTATATTTTCACGGGAAACATTCTTACCAGCACCTATTTTGTTCAATGAATCAGTTGAATCCTGCATGGACTTTCTTTTATTGAACTTTTCATGTAGAGTAGAATCTGCTTTACTTAGACCTTTATCGTTTTCCTGTAGTTTGCTATGTAATTTAAAAAAACTGTTATCAATATCTTTTGGAATTTCTTTATCATTTAAGCCTGCATTGTTTATACTTTCCTGAAGGCAGACCTTATCCTTCACAGTAGAAGAGGTCAACAACTGATTTACAGATTCATCATTGTTACTGCCACTTGATAGACAATTCAACTTATTCGTTTGAAAAAGGCTTCTGTTACCCTTTTTATCTCCAGTCTGTTCAAAAGAAAAAGTTTTTCTCACTAATGCTCTGTTGACTGGTGTTAGTCTAGACTGATAACTGGGCATAATGACTTGAGGTAAATTTTTATGTATACCTAAATTTTTAGGAGCTTCTTTCTTTTCAGCACTGCTTTTTGCTTTTGATAGAAAAAATTTGATTTCTTCAGGGTCATCTCCACTAACTTTATTTTTGACTTGATCAGATCTGTTTGCAGAGGCTTCACTATCATCAAGGGTATGTAAACAGTCCAACGCTTCATTTATAACAGGTTCACCACTTTTATTTTTTATTTGATCTAATCTACTTGAAAGCAACTCATAATTATCAGGAGCAAGTTGAGTTGCAGGTAAACTTTCTGAATCTTCGTTTGAAACAGTCTCGTCTTCCAACTGGTTAAACTTGCTCGATGATACTCTACAATCATCAAGAGCAATTTGGGTTGTGGGTAAATCATCAGAATTTTCATTCAATTTAGGATCATCAAGAGCAGGTTGAGTTGCATTTAAATCATCATAATCTCCATTCAACTTAGATTCCTCAGTTTTGTTCTTAAATGATTTGAACTTATTTAAAGGCATTCCCTGTTCATCAAGAGCAAGTTGAGTTGCATTTAAATCATCATAATCCTTATTCAAATTAGATTCCCCAGTCTTGCTCTTAAACGAGTTGAACTTATTTAACGGCATTCCCTGATCATCAAGAGCAAGTTGAGTTGCATTTAAATCATCACAATCTTCATTCAAATTAGATTCCCCAGTCTTGCTCTTAAACAAGTTGAACTTATTTAACGGCATTTCCTGATCACCAAGAGCAAGTTGAGTTGCATTTAAATCATCATAATCTTCATTCCGCTTAGATTCCCCACTCTTGTTCTGATACGAGTTGAACTTATTTAAAGGCTTTCCCTGATCATCAAGAGCAAGTTGAGTAGAAGGCAATTCATTAAAATCTTCATTCATAGAATCAGAATAATTGCTATTATTTTTTAAAGTTTCTGGCACTTTTTCCCCCTTTTCGGGTAAAGTGTTTTCTTGCTCACCACCTGAAGGCGATTTCATCGGCAATGGTTCATATAAATCCCCATCACAGGCACTGGAAATAAACGTATTGCTTGTTTGTGAGTTTACAGCTTCGAGACTGGATTTCAAATGTGGTATTGCAAGTATCTTAAAATTCGGTTCAGAGAGCTTTTTGAAGTTCTCTGAAGTTAAATTTTCAACCTTTTCATTATTTTCTAACGGATTATCATTCACTAAATTTGATAGAGGCTCTTTTATTTCATCCAGATAATTTTGATTCTGTTTTGGGTTATTTTGCACAGGTACAAAGGAAGCGAAAACTGGAGAATCAGAACTGTTTTGATTTTTTTCATTACTTTCTACATGTTCTTTTGCAGGGAATTTATCGTCCTTATTAGCTTCACCAGGTACCTGAATTATATTAGATGTTAATGAATCTAGTTTATTTTCTTCAATACACACTTTACTTTTTAAAAAGGTGTTACAGTGATTGTTTGATTGATTGTTTGATTGATTTTCATTATTAATAGACCTGAGTGAGATATCTTTTCTTTTAGATTTATTTGAGTCAGATGTGCCATCATAATTTTCTGAATCAGATGTAGATAAGTTCTTGTGAGAGGTTATAGCAGGTTGTGTGGCTGGTAGATCATCACCTCTGCCTGCAAGGAAAAGTTGTGTTTCAGGTAAATCAAGATCTTCAACAACAAACGGCTGTGTTTCTGGAAAATCGAATATGTCCTGACTATCGAATGAACTACTATCATTATTAACTTCTAATGTATTTGAAGGCTTGCAATCTGCAGGTTGAGTTGCAGATAAGTTACCCGATTCCAGGTGGATAACAGAAATTACATTATGAGATTCAAATTTTTTATGTCCACTTTCAAAAGGTTTTTTAAAAGCATTGGCATCTTTTTGCTTTGAAGTTAAAATAGTTTCATTCATTAATATGTTTGAAGTACTTTCAGTGTTTTGACACGGATTTAATGGATCCATTTCGTTGCTCATCTTCTCAGTGATTTTTGAAGTGGAAGTAACTTCAGATATAACTGATTTTTGGAAGTTGCAGGTTTTGGATGGGCCAGAGGTTTGACTAGGTACTTCATAAATTTGCTCTGAAACACAATTTTCAGGCACATCAATTGACGGAATGCTTAATTTGTCATTTAATCCATTGTCTTGGATCAAAGAGAGAGGGATCTCCTTCAACTTTGGAAGTGGTTTAGATGAAGTTATGTTAGTTGTAACAATGCAGGTGTTAATTTCTGAATTTTTATTATAAGTAGCTGAGTCTAATAAGGTATTGCTCTCAATTAAATGCTTTGCGTGCAGATTGTTAGAAGTGACACCCATACCACTACCATTTTCATCAGAAAAACTGTTAACATCTTTAAACTTTTTACAATCAGAAGTCAGCATGCCTGAGTCCATGTTATCTGTTTTTGGATGTTCACTGTTTGAATGTTTACCTTCCTCCAGCACGGTGCATTGCGTTACAGAGCCACGATTTTGAGTGATTATTCTTACATTGTTCAGTTCTGAGGGTCGACTTGGTGGCAACTCAGAAGGCAGTTCTTTTGGGTGAGTATCACCCTGTTGTTCAGTCTTAATTTTGGGATTATTCTGTTTCAAAAAATGATTGGCAAGGTTATTTTTAAGATTCTGAACCAAGGTTAAAATTTGAGCAGGTGACAGCTGTTTCACAAAATCGGCATTGCTCATTAAGGAGACAAGTTGGTCAGGAGAGAAAGCTTCAGTTGGACTTAAAGTTGAAGAACTAGGTTTATTTTCACTGATAGATGGTAAAATAAAAACATCATCATCTCCTACAGACTGAAAGTCTCTTGAAGGACAATTGTCTGATACAATCGAAGTTGCGGAAGTTCTTGGTGTGAGAGGCAGATCATTTCCTTGTGTAGAAGCATTTGCCCTTTGGGTGTCAGAGAAATCACAAGTTGAAGCTATCTGCGTCAGTGGCAAGTCAGTTACTGAAGCTCTTTGTGTAGAAGGAAGTTCATTTGAAGAGTCACTCGCAATTATTTTTGATGTACCAAAGGGAAAAGATGGCCCAGGAACTGATAATGATGGATCTTCACTTTTTATCAATTTAGCAGCACATGAAGGCTGTACTTTCTTACCATGTGGTGCATCATCTAAAGTCTTTGATTTTGATGGTCGTTTTTCTGAATTAGCCTTTTCCTTTGAACATAAGGTAGAAAGTTTATTTTTTAGCAAATCAGCTTGCTCTTGAGCACTTATTCCAAGGGAACTAGATGAACTACTCACAGAGACATTCAAGAGTGAACTATTTTCCAACCTTGATTTATGTCCTTGACTGTTTGGAATTGTGACTCTAGGTTGTGTTGATGGTAGTTCTTCAACAGAGGATGATCTAGAAGATAAAGAGGTTCTGCCACTTAAGTGATCACATGTTTCTTCGTCGGATAATGGTTCTTCTTTTATATTCAATACCATTTGATTAACATCTGTTGCTTGAGATTCACTGAATGATGAATAATGAATCTTATTTTGAATACTCGAATTAGAATCATTAATTGGTTCTTTTTTTATCGTCACATTTTTAAACATTTCGTTCGATGCATAAGAAGTGTTTTCACTTGCCGCAGGGGTTGCATTACTAGGTGAAAGATTAGATCTTGGTTTTATAGAATTAATTGATTCCTCTTTACGAAAGGGCACATTTTTATTATCCCTGGAAGCGGTAATTCTAGAACTGGTGTCATCTAAATTCTCAAAGAGACTCTGGGAAGGTTCATAGTCTGCACTGCTTTCATCAGTATCCTCATAAAATTGATCACTATCTTCATTGGTTGTTTGAGTACTTACACCATATCCTTTGGTCAAAACTGAACTACATGCATCAGAATTGGATGGATTGGAAAGGGAATTAATCAAACTTTGGGATTGTTCCAAATCACTATCATCATCAGATAAGGCACTTTGAGTGGATAAGGAAAGATGGAGTGGTGCTGATTTTGGTATGACTGGGGTCATTTCGTCATTAACTTCAGATGAAATACTGACATTTTTTAAAGTTTTGTTGGACACAGATGAACATACATTTGATGATTCAGAAGAGTTAAAACGATTGTAAAACATGATTCTTTTACTCCTAATATAATCAGATGAGCATTCATTTTCTGTGGTGGAATTGTTCTCATCTGAGGAGTTCAGTTTTGCAGCGGTAATCACATTTTCAGAAGATTTAGAAGCCCAGGGTTTTGAGTCATAAAAAGAAGGATTTTTAAAAGGTTTGTTGGTGTCAGGATCATGAAAAGTATTTTTCCACAATTCTTTTTTTGTTGGAGACATTTTGTGTTGAGAATGGCTATCTGCAGATTGTGGGGAAGGTATTTTTTCAGTTATTTTTTGCTGCTTGGGTCTGATAGATCTGGAGATTTTCTTGGAACTGGATGAGTTTTTGGGTAACACATCAAAAGGTTTTTTGAACTCAGAGTTGGGGGAGCTATTCTGAGCAGGAATTTTGGATGAACTACTGGATAGTTTAAGTTTAGGAATAGCACCATTTTTAGCTGATGATAAACATGTCTTTGATGATGTCTGAGAATTCTCTTTAGAAATTTTTTTGGTAGTATTGTTTTCACTCTTTTTTGCCGTCAGGGATCCATCTGATTGAATGAGAACTTTATCAGGTTTTGAATATAGAAGTGTTTGACTTGCTAAAATGTTATCCAACAAGTTAATGGATGATGTAGAGGCTTGCACTATGGGTCTTGTCCTAGATTAAAAATAAATAAATTCACTGCATAGAGAAAACAAATTTTAAAACCATAATAAATGAAACAGATAAAAGATAGAATTGAATTGCATTTCTCCAATAACTGACCTGCGACACTTTTATAAAAAAAATTCAAATTAAACTGGAATAGTTAAAATTTTAAATTTTACAGCTTGAAATAAGAGTAATATAGTTTTACTAAATTGTTTAGCAGCATTTTGCTACTTGAAATGAAAATAAAATCCTAAACACTTTTATAAATTCAATATTAAAATTTAAAAATTGAAATTAATGCAAAATAATTTTTAAAAAAATTATAATTAAAAGTATAACCAATCAATATAATTAAAATTATTTTATGATAAGATTAATTTAAACCGCACAATGGTAGTTAAATTGGTGAATATCTTCTAACAGAACCTAAACTTCTAGCATAAAATTAAACTAACAGTCTGATAAAAATGAAAAGATTCAGAAGAGTTCTTCCTAAAAATTTCTTAGCAACCATTTTCATAAACAAAACTTGGATGATTACTTACTTATTGCCAGATCCTGATGACTGAGATGTAGAAGGCTTTGGAGTTGCAGGAGGATCACTAGAGAAGAAAAGCACATGATTGAACATTTTATTTCAATACAAAATAAAGGAAATTATCCAAAAGAAGTTAATGCTAAACTGTTCCAGGAGTAAGCAGGGGTACATATTAAACAAAAACTGAACAAAACAGCAGGCAGTTAACTCAGAGGAAGTTTTTGTACAATATTCCTTTTATTAAAAAATAGTGGTTATAAGATAATTGTTCTTTTTTTTTTTCAAGGGTATCCATAATTTTAATTTTATAACTCCCCTCTTCCATTTAATATTTCATAACCGGTATTGAACGGCCGACCCAGCTTTTGGGTTTACAACTACCAATGTTCAACTCTATAGCCTTGTCATTTTGAACCCAATGTAGAAGACAAAGGAACTCCTGGAGCAAGTATTAGGGAGAAATTTGCATTTGTGAAGCACTTTTTGATGGAACTATCCTGCTTTTGCGTTACATGCAGAGTAAAACCTCCCACAGTTAGCCTGACAGCAAGGGGACTCTAACCCATGATACGTAAACCAATTGAGGATATTTTACATCAGCACTGTTATCGGTGCATGCTGGATGCGGAATTCGTATCAACCAGCCATTGCTGGGATTCGAACATGGTTCATCTCATTGGAAGGCAAAGGCATTATCCCCTGAACCACCTAGCTCCCCCTCTTCCATTGAGTTTATTGACCTGCACACTTTACAAATCAGTCAAAGCAGGATAAAAAGAATCACAATATTTAAAGAGATGCAACACAAAAGAAGCATGTAAAAAAAGGACTTTTTGAGGAATTTTGCACCGATTAACTTAATTTAATACATCTAATAGTTTATTCTTTATCTTTTCTTAGTTTTATGTAATTGCACATAGTTTAAACTTCATTTTATCATGTTACAAACACGAAAATGTACAAAATTTGCACTTATGTAATACAATTTATGTTTTAAACTTACTTTTCAAATTATCAATAATTTTTGTCATAGGTTGAAAAAAAATCATTCAAATTTAATTCTATTTTACTTTTTTCAAACTACATGAACGTAGTTTTTGTAGTACAAAGGATTTTCAAATTTTTTTTCTTCACAAAACGATGGCGTTTTGAAAAGAAAATTCAAACAATTATATAAAATATGTTACATTTTCAAAGATTACACTAAAAGTAGTCGATTCAATTAAAAATTTCCTACAGGCAACAAAGTTTATATTTACTGTGAGCATTGTGTCAAAATTTTAAATAAATCGGTTGAAAATCGTACTAATTAGCAATACAGCGAGAAAGAGAAACATAATTTCGAAGTTTTGTGACCAATAATCCAAATAAATATATAAAATTTTGCAACTAACAATGCATCAATACCAGGTCCATAAGATGCCTCTTCTTCATCATTTCCAGCAGTTGCAAGTGATAGCTTAACCTTTTTTTTTTGTTGTTATTTTACCCTCATGTGACACCTCACTTGTAAATAAAGAAGCAGTCGAAATTCACCTGTCATTTTTATTTTGAGCATATTCTTTGGCTGCTGGGTCTACATTTATTTCTAGTTGCTCCCCTCGCAACCTTCATTAAAAATTATTACAGCTAAGTTGCAATTTCCACTATTTATATTGAAATTAGCCTTAATTCTTTTTCTTACATAATTGAGACAAATTTTTTCAATTAAATTATGAAAATAATAGTACCTTCAGAAAATCGTTTAATAGTAGTGAGCAAATCCATTTATCAACTGAGTGCACAAGTTCATGTGATCATACCTGTCAGAATATTGTGAGCCACACTAAACTGATTATGCTGTTACTTTTACATTTTTACGAAAATTAATTAAATATTTTGATACAATAATCCTAAAGGAAAAACTATTAGAAAATGCAAATTTTTTTCCCTTCATTTTCTGAAAATTTCACTAGGTTGTTCCTCTTTGAAAACCGACTTTTACAAAATTAACTTAGAGAGAAAAAGAAGACCAGTTAGATTTGTTTGGGTTGAGAATTAAAAATATTACCTGTCCGAAAATTCCAATAACTCATCTTTGCTTCCAAATAGCGAAAAAGATGATTTTCTTGCTGAGGAAGAAGGACCAGTTTTGGACTTAACGTCAGGAATCGATCCACCTTTTGATGATTTACACAAAGAAAGGCGCTTTGCAATACGTTCTTGCGCTGATTTAAGGTAAGAAGCAGCCTGGGCTGATGATGTAACATTTGTCTTTGTCTGCAAGACAAAATATTAAATAAAACAAAACAAATTTATTCAACAAAGTGAATCAAAAACGTAAAAGTCTTTTAAATCTTTTACAGAAATGCCAACTATTCTGATTGCAGAAAAATATTTTATGGAATGGTTATTTTCAGAAATCTGTTTAATTTAAAAATCTGTTCAGAATCTTCACTTTGAGTTAATTAGAAGTAAGTTGCATTCTATTTTATTTATGTGTTTAATTTGCTTTGTGTACAGTGGTAAGCAAAATCAGTTTTCATCACATTTACTAAACCAAGAATCCAATATTAAAATATAAAATTTGCTAGCACTGGAAAGATAATTTTCACAAGTAGGCATCCCTGCATTAAGCAGCAGCTTGAAAAAGTTGTGAAGTACCCTCATTAAGAAGTATGCAAAATTTTCTAACTCTGAACGAATACTTTCTGCTGCCCCACAAATATAAAAGTATTAAAAAAAATTAACTCAAAATGATTAAAGTTTAAGGAATCACAAATTTTGTTGATCGACTTTCTCTTAAAATTACCATATTTTAACAAGAATATCTGTACAAAATTTTAGAAACATAGCAACTGCCACCCCAATAACAAAGAAGTTTGGCTTTGTCCATTGAGGATTAATTCAGATTTGATTTTTATTCTGAATTACCCTTTAAAGGAGCAATTCAAACTTGGTGCCTTTAAAATGGCAGATATTATCTGGACAACAACGATGTATCCCAAGTAGCTACATTAAGATATAAAATATTTAAGATATAAGATATAAAATACCTATTCATATAAAGAAAAACCATTCAGACGTTCTTGTTTAGCCCGAGATTAAGATCTTGATATTCACGTTTGACATGGAATTAAACAACGAGCCTGATTTGTGATATTAAAGTTCGGCCTAAAACTTTTATCACAAGTCAGACTCATGAAAATAGTGCAAGGGGTTAAGCATTTTTTGTCTTATTTTCTGAAATTTTGCAGTGGCAGAAATTATTGATTCAGAGTTATAAGATTCTGCATACTTCTATGAGATAATAGGTAGACAACTGTTTCCTATTGCAGCTAAAAGATTTTTTAAAAACTTCAACATTCTAGATTCAATCTACAAGAGACAGTACTTATTCTAAAAGTAGTTCAACTAACTTTAGTTTTTCTTCTCCTTCTCCTCCTCCTCCTGCGGTACGTTACAATGACTGTCGATCCTTTAACACAGGTTTTTCCTTTAGACCCATCCATAAGGTTTTTCTTTGTTCTAGCCAGTTGAACAACTTTTTTGATAGCACGACGGTAGGTGCGCCGTCTCCTGCATTTTTTAGGTCTCCCACTTACACTCTTGAAAAAATTATAGGGGAAAGAAAAATAATCAATTTGGCTGCTTCATCCATTAAAACGCACAGTATTTACATATAAATACAGTAGAGTCCCGATTATCCGAGTTTCCGCTTTAACCGAGGTATCAAATATTTCAAGGATTTTTTTGTTCCAGTTTATTTTTTAAACTACCTCTAAAACAATTTCTGAATTTTATCTTATAAACACTCGAGAAAGCGAAATCCAACAACTTGATCCGATGAAATGATCATTAATATTGTCAAGAATGAAAATGAATCTACCGAAGATGATAAACGATGAAAATCAAGATATAAAAATCTCTCATGCAGATGGACTGAAAGATATTGAATCTACAGAACAACAAGAAGAGCTGACAGCAGCCTTCCTGTTATTCCTAAAAAAATGGTGAAACATTGCTGCAGAAAAGCGCCAAAGTAATGTAAAACAAAAAATAATTAAGGATTTTTTTAAGTAAAAACTCCTCGTAAAGTATGCGGTTTTATAGTAAGCTTTTTAATTATAATATGAATTGTATGTGGTGTACTTGTATAAGTTTTGTATTTGTCAAATATATTACATTTATACCTTCTCTTTTTTTCTATTCTTCGCTTTAAACAAGTTTTACGGTTATCCTAGTGAGTGGTGGTCCACTTTAACTTGGATAAGCGAGACTCTATTGTACAATGTTTTGCATTAAAATCAGCTTTGGCACGATTCCTGTTGATTATCTCTTGAATCTGAATAGGATTCTGCAAACCTCCACTATTTTTTTTTTGGGGGGGGGAGGGGACCTTCACTATGTTTATTCCTTATTTTATAGAATACAGACAGCTGTTTTGGATGCTCAAAGGGCAACCTTCATCAGTGCAACAGAAAGAAATGAGAGAAAGCAGGGTAAATATAGAGAAAGGTGACATCACAAGAGGGTTTAGAACAACGGCCAATAGGAGGGAAGGGTGAATGGATGACGACGTATAGGAAGCAAGGAACAAAGGGTGGTTAGTTAGGTTAAATCATAGGTTTCATAACAGAAGAAAGATAAGGAACGCTGGATAGGTCATTGACCAACAGTTTGGAATTTTTGAAAATATTATAGGACTCATAAAAATCTAAATCAAAAATTGAAGAACAATTTTGAATGACTTTAGAAGAAGAAAAATTAAAATTATGTTTAGAGTTCCAACAATGTTGGGCAATAGATGAGTGTTCAAATTCTTGTTTTTTGACATAAGCTTCATGTTCCTTGACACGGCACTTTAAGGGATGCTTAGTTTGGTCAATAAATGAAAGGCCGCATTGGCAATTAATTTGGTATATACCCCAGCTATTTTGACTGTCAATGGGCTGTTTGAGATTAGAAAATATTATCTTATTAATGGGACTGAAAATAATATTAAAATCAAACTTCTTTAGGATATTAGAAACTTGCCGACTTATTTTAGGAAAATAGGGTATCGGTAGGCGATTGTTTGGTTAAGATTTTATAAATATTATCAATAATGTTAGGAGAATAACCTCTGTCATGAGCAATGGCTTTGATTCAATTTAATTCTGCATCAAGAAATTCAATATTAGAACAAATATTAACAGCACGGTTGACAAAAGACCGAAAAGAGGCAAGTTTTTGGTTGGGAGGGTGGGAGGATTTGTAATGAGGGGGAAGAGAACCAGCAGACGGTTTGCAAAAGACAGTGGTATGGAATGCATTATCATTCCGAGTCACAAGAACATCTAAGAAAGGAAGTTTTTGATCAGTCTCTAATTCAAAGGTAAACTGAATGCAAGAATCAATGCTGTTCATAACATTAAGAATTTGGTCTAAATTACAATTATTTTCATCTAACAAAGCAAAACTGTCATCAACATATCTTTTATAAAAGGGGAAAGTTAAGATTTTGAATAGTTTACTTTCAAAATAATGCATATAGATGTCACTAANAGTTAGGTTTTATCATAGATTTCCAAACAGGAGAAATATAAGGAACACTTGATAGGTCATTGACCAACAGTTTGGAATTTTTGAAAATATGATAAGACTCGTAAAAATCTAAATCAAAAATTGAAGAACAATTTTGAATGACTTTAGAAGAAGAAAAATTAAAATTATGATTAGAGTTCCAACAATGTTGGGCAATAGATGACTGTTCAAATTCTTGTTTTTTTGACATAAGCTTCATGTTCCTTGACACGGCACTTTAAGGGACGCTTAGTTTGGTCAATATATGAAAGGCCGCATTGACAATTAATTTGGTATATACCCCAGCTATTTTGACTCTCAATGGGCTGTTTGAGATAAAAAATATTATCTTATTAATGGGACTGAAAATAATATTAAAATCAAACTTCTTTAGGATATTAGCAACTTGCCAACTTATTTTAGGAAAATAGGGTAAAATGACTAAATTGTTAGATAATTTTTTGGAAGGTTTATCGGTAGGCGATTGTTTGGTTAAGTTTTTATAACTATTATCAATAATGTTAGGAGAATAACCTCTGTCATGAGCAATGGCTTTGATTCAATTTAATTCTGCATCAAGAAATTCAATATCAGAACAAATATTAACAGCACGGTTGACAAAAGACCGAAAAAAGGCAAGTTTTTGGTTGGGAGGGTGGGAGGATTTGTAATGAGGGGGAAGAGAAACAGCAGACGGTTTGCAAAAGACAGTGGTATGGAATGAATTATCATTCCGAGTCACAAGAACATCTAAGAAAGGAAGTTTTTGGAAGAAGATCAGTCTCTAATTCAAAGGTGAACTGAATGCAAGAATCAATACTGTTCATAACATTAAGAATTTGGTCTAAATTACAATTATTTTCATCTAACAAAGCAAAACTGTCATCAACATATCTTTTATAAAAGGGGAAAGTTAAGATTTTGAATAGCTTTGAACTTTCAAAATAATGCATATAAAACCTCTTGTGACATCACCTTTCTCTATATTTACCCTGTTTTCTCTCATTTCTTTCTGTTGCACTGATGAAGGTTGCCCTTTGAGCATCCGAAACAGCTGTCTGTATTCTATAAATATTTTTGTGCTCTTTAACGTTGTTAGCCTTAGCTAGCATTATAAAATGCGACTTGTTAAACGGATGCTGGAGGGACTTGAAAATACAGGAGAGCTAAAAAATGTCAAGATGTTTTTGAAGCGATTCAATATATTGTTTTGGCATGGGAATTAATAACACCATCTGTAATTGTTAATTGTTTTCAAACAGCTGGATTCTCTGATGGAGATACAACCGAAGAGTATGACTTTGAAGCTGAAATTTCAGGTGAAGAAACAAATGAAAATTTTGATAACAATTGGAAATTGCTCCAAAATAAACTTAATTTCACTGCATCATTTGAAGAATATGTATCAGTTGACAACGAAATTTTACCTTGTGATGCGCTTACATTAGAGGATATTGAGAAGCTACAAATGACACAGAAGAGTTGGGAGAAATGGAAGATATTGAAGATGTCGCTAAACCTCTTAGTCATTCTGTTGCCAGAAAAGGGTTTGAAACTTTTAATAAATTCATTTACAGTGTTGAAAATGTGCCCCCGGAAATGTTCAAATATTTTCAGCAGTTGGACAATTTTCAGTTAAAGGTTGGTGAGAAAAAGCAAAAACAAACGACTTTATAAGATTTTTTCTCACAAAAATATCCTCAATAATTGTAAAAATTTGGCTTCTCTGTGTAAATAACATTAGATAAAATAAAAAATAAAGTAGGTAACTTTGTTATTATTTATTAACTATTTTTTTAAATGACAGTAAAATTAAATATTTATTCCATTGTGTTGATTCTGTAATATAAGTTTTATAATTTAAAAAAAACTTTTTTTAAAACTTTATTGTATAAAAAGTTTTTCTATTTAATAGGTCATTTCTTTCCACTCCCTTGAAAAACTTCTTAAGCGGATTCCACTGTATATTCCTTACATATAACCAATTAAAATATAAGATAATTGTAATTTTTTTAACAGGACTTTAAAATTTTATTTATTAAATACTTAACGTATCCTAATAAATTGAGATTAATTATCAGAATAAATTACAGTTTCTTTTATAAATTTAATATTCAACTGGATATAGTTTAAAAAATATAAACAAATATGTTAATTTTGTTAGTCGTGTATTTATTATATGTAATTTACAACACATTATTTCTTAAAATATTTATACAGAAGAACCAGCGTTTGTTGATTTAAATCAGCTTGATTTAAATCAACATATTATTTTTATATATATATATTGATATCAAAAGTTAAAAAACAGTGTTTTAAATAATTGATAATTTTGTTATTTTCTTTTCTTAGTTTTAAAATTTATTTTAAATAAATTGTTGCATTAATTAATTTTAGTTAATGAAATTACTTTCTTTCTTGGTATGTGTTAAACTCCAACACATTTGAAATTACGTTTTTAAAAATCACTTGATTCTTGAGATTGAAAGTACAAATTAAAGTAAACATTTAATGCTGCCTTAATATAGACTTGCATAGCTGTAGAAAGTAATTATCAAACATGAATTCTTTCAAAAAATAATGTAAATATTGTTAATTAAAATTCTACCCTTTGAAATAAAAAGTGTGGAATTAAAATCTATATTATATTTTATTGGTGGAAAATGTATATTTCTGAAGCTTGAGGTTATATTAAAAAGAAACTACCCTAATTTGCCAAAAATAGAAAGAAAAAAAAAAGGCCAATAAATTCAGATATTTTTTTACTGATATAGTGCCATTCTTCCCTTTCAAAAGTCTATTTGAAGCAGTTGTGTTATTAACAGGTATTTTTTTCTCATAATATGTTTACAGTATCTTTGACATCTGATTTTCTATATAGAAATTTTGTGAAAAAAAATTCCTATAAGTACATAGATTTAAAAAAAAAAAAAAATTTCTTAGCTTAACTTATCTATTTTGATAAAGAATTAAAAATGAATGCTTTAATATAAAGATATATAGATTAAATATTTATTTATTTTTTGATGAATGACTACATTTATAAACACAATCTGTTACATTTATTTTGTCATTTTAAAAATCAAGAGAAAAAAATGAAATTTTAAATTAAAATTATGGTTTGCTAATTGAAACTTTGTTTTAATAGTTAAAATACATGGGCCTGTCCAAGTGAAATTTACTACCATTTACTGGTACAGGGTGGCCACTCAAAACAGATTTCAAATTTCCCTGATTTTTCCAGGTTTTCCAAGTAAAAATCTTAAAATTTCCAGGTTTGTGTTTTTTTCCTTTTTTCTTATAAAGTGTAGGATGTGTACAAGAAAAGTGTCTGTATTATAAAATATCTTATTCAAAATGTCATTTTTTTAAACATATCTTGAAAAAAAATTTATTTTCTCACAAGATATTTTTTCATTATTTTTTAATGTTCTGGTACAACATTAATTTTTAAAAAATTAAGACGTGGAGAAAATAATATGTTTAGCTTGCAGAATATATTGTTTTTATTGAATAATTTTAATTGTTTTTATTGAATTTAATGTGTTACTTTAAGTAGTATTTGCTCAAAGTGTACCTACAAAAT